ATGGAAACAATTCATATGACCCCAGTAGGGTGGTCACTGGGCAAGGCATGGTTTATTACCATATTGATCCTCATCAGTTATGACCCCGGTCCCCAACCTCAGACTGGGCACAGAAGGCTCAAATGCTTTTGGCATGGATGTCTGTTTAATAAGGTTCTAGTAAAAGTGACAAATTCAATGACACACTCAGAAAATTTCCTAATCATTGTGTGAAAAAAACAGAACATAAATATAGAACACATATTTTTATACTGTAGTATTTACTGTGTCTATACATGAACAAAGATCACATGATAATCAGAAGTGATATAGAGGGGCACCTGGCTGCTCAGTCAGTACAGCATGGGACTCTTGATCTCAGGGTTGTGAGTTCAACACTGGGCACAGAGTTTACTTAAAAAGAAAAAAAAAAAAAAAAGCAATGTAGAGACCAAAAATAACTTAAGTTTTATTTTTCTTTCAGTTTATTTATTTTGAGAGAGAATGCATGTCAGGGAGGGGCAGAGAGAGAGTCCCAAGCAGGCTCTGCGGTGTCAGCCCTGAGCCCAATGTGAGATCATGACCTGAGCCAAAATCAAGAGTTAGAAGCACAACCAATTGAACAATCCAGGTGCCCCTAAAGATAACTGAAATTTTAAAAAAAGAACATGGGGTGCCTGGGTGGCTCAGTCAGTTGAGCCTCTCACTCTTGATTTCACCTGAAGTAGTGATCTCATGGTTTGTGAGTTGGAGCCCCAAGTTGGGCTCCGCACTGACAGCATAGACCCTGCTTAGAATTCTCTCTCTCTCGACTCTTGAATGCTGACAAAAACTGAGGACTGATGGATGTGGGGGGGAGGGGGGATGGGCATGGAGGAGGGCACTTGTGGGGATGAGCACTGAGTGTTATATGGAAACTAATTTGACAATAAACTATTTGTAAAAAAAAAAAGAATTCTCTCTCTCACTCAAAATGAATAAACTTAGAAAAAATTTTTAAATGCAAACAGGGAGCTTATGATTACTTTTAAAAGTTCTACTTTTCCCAGCCTGTATCTTGTCTGTTGCACTCACTTAAATATCACTAAGGACGTGTGGCTCTGAGGCAAGGAAGTCTGAAACCAAACATGGGATATAGGTGAAGATAAAGATAGAAAAAAAAAATCCCCAACCCCTGGGAAATACAGCCAAGCAGCATGCTTATTATTCACAAACTATGATTCACTATCCCTGTTTTTAAAGCCAGCACCACACTCTAATCATATTGCTAGGTTACAGGCCCCGAGTTATTTGTGCATAATAAAAACTGAATCCATTAAAATGATACATTGCATTTTTCTTGCCTATATCGTCTCTTTGGGGAGAACATTTGGTCATTGTAAGTAAGACATGGACAATATTGAACCTAAAGATTACTCTGGATCCCAAAACCAGAGAGGTGTCCAGTGAAAAATGAAATCATTATCCAAAGATTCCTCAACCTGAAAAATGGGAGTCAAAATCTGAAGTGAGCAAGTAACTCTCTCCCAGGTCCATGCAGGTGGCACTATTTTGTCCAAACAAGAAGAAACCTTTACAGAGTTCACCGGTTTTACACCCAGGAAAATGGTCTACTGTTGAACTCTCTTAAGAGGAACTCTCATACTTTTTCTCTTGTGCCGGACAAGCTGTACTACTGTGGAAAGCCCAACGGCCAGGCAAGTTAACAACACAAAACACACACACAGGCACAACTACGGTCCAATTTCAAGATCAGCAGCCCTGATACGAGCTTAATGAAACATTCACCTCATGGCCTCAGTCTAAATACTTGATATCTCCTAGTGGGATAATTTGTGCAGGTGATAACTATCAGAGTAAATGATAAGCAAAGACATTTCTAGTTAAGACTCAGATGATGTTCTCAGTGTGTTTCTGTACATATGTGGTCCTTAGTTCTCGGTGACATTGTTTATTCTCCTCTAAAACCAAAACACTGGCTGAATAACAGAAATTGTATATATTATAGTTGAAGAAAGCATTTTCCCTCCCATGCTGCAGATCTCTTTGGTACTTGACAGAAGTGGCACATAACCCCCATTGAATGAGCACTAGAAGACAGCAATAATGTAACACAAACCGACATTAGGTACTAGATCCAGGACTAAGAAGGAGGGAAAACACTCACTAAATAAGCACATGTGTGTGTGTGTGTGTGTGTGTGTGTGTGTGTTTTGTGTCATTTGGACTAACAAAAGACAGGCTAAAGTTAACAACACTGACATCCCTGCATTTTGGATATGGTAGCCTAGAGTGTCAGCCTATGATGAATCAATGTCTGGCTCAATCAGACACACTCTCTTGAAAGAAAAATCACAGTATTACCTCCAATGCCCTAGTTATTTCATCAATCAAAAAGAGCGAGCACTGGGGCACCTGGCTGGCTCAGCTGGAAGAGCATGTGACTCTCAATCTCTGGGTCATGAGTTGGAGCTCCAGGTGTAGAGTTTACTAAGAAATAAACTACAGAGGTGCCGGGGTGGCTCAGTCCGTTAAGCGTGCGACTTCAGCTCAGGTCATGATCTCACGGTTCGTGGGTTCGAGCCCCGCATCGGGCTCTGTGCTGACAGCTAGCTCAGAGCCTGGAGCCTGTTTCAGATTCTGTGTCTCCCTCTCTCTCTGACCCTCCCCTGTTCATGCTCTCTCTCTCTTTCTCTCTCTCTCTCAGAAATAAATAAAACATAAAAAAGAAATAAACTAAAAACTTAAAAAAAAATAGAGATAGCATTGAAAAATATTCCTCGTAGGGGCACAATATAACATTAAAAAAAAATAATGATGGTAAAAAGTATCTGGGGGGCGGGGAGAGTTTATATTTATTACCTATGATATGCAAGGTGTCTTCACATGTGCTGGCTGTCCCCATTTCTCATATCAGGAAACAGACTCTCTAAAAGTAAAATAGGGGCGCCTGGGTGGCTTAGTCGGTTAAGCGTCCGACTTTTGCTTAGGTCTTGATTTCTCGGTTCTTGGGTTCGAGCCCCGCTTCGGTTTCTGTGCTGACTGCTAGCTCAGTGCCTGGAGCCTGTTTCAGAGTCTGTGTCTCCCTCTCTCTCTGACCCTCCCCTGCTCATGCTGTCTCTCTCTCTCTCTCTCTCCTAGAAATAAATAAAACATTAAAAAAATTAAAAAAAAAATAAAATAAAAGTAAAATAACTTGCCTGAGGGCACAGCTAGCAAGGGACCAGTCTGAACTCAGGTTTGTCCAATTTTACAACCAGTGGGTTCTATAGGACAGCACTGCTGCCTGGTTTAACCGCAAACTCTGCAATGGGTTCTGTTTGGAATTTAAAATACTAATGGTCACTCAGGATCAAAATTTTTACTGGTGGATAATTCTGGGAATGAAATTCTGACATTTTACATACAAAGCAGTTATACTAAAAAGTAACTTTTTAATAAGGGTCTGGGATGTTTTACCATGAACTTTGAGAAGTTTGGATTTCTAAATACGATTTGGAAATATTTACACGAACTGAAACTATAGTCCTAACTAAAGCTCAATCGTTATTTTTGGCTCTAAGTTACTCAATAACTAAAATACTAGAATCCGGCCAAAGAACAGCCAATGGAAATATGGAGCAAAACCCAAAACCCACATATACCTAGGCCCTGATATGAAACAATCGATTTCTGTATCATTTGTTTGGTCATTCTGTTTATACTCTTATTTATGAACCGGTGCCAAGCAACAGTCAACCAATTCAAGGCCAAGTGTTCAAGTTCAAAACACGACCCTAGCTATGAAAGTGGATTTTTTTTTTAATTACAAGAAAAAGTTAACCTACATGAGTTCTATCAGGAAGTGTGTAAATTTTCCTTAAAAAAATCTGAAAAAGGTGATTGTATATTTTACTTCATCTGTTTCCAAATTCTTGTTACTCCAAGAGCACGGACTATTATTTACCAAAAGTGCATAACCTCCGAAGAGTTCACAGTGTGGCCCTTAGGTACACTTGTGTCATTTCTCCACCTGGACACCTCGTACATGATATACCATAGTAAAGAGTACATAGTGGAAGTCATTAAACAGAACCTGCGCCCATGTACCATACCCATACCCTGGACAATGCCTTTTTTTTTAAACCACTAATTGAGGTTCTTCAAACCAGAAGGAAAAAAAGCCAAGTCTGTCCACAAAATGTCCTCCCCAACTATGGGGCTCAAATCCATAGCCTGAGTAAAGGCCTTAAACAGTTAAATGTAATCCAGGAGCTTCTCTCCAGGAAAAGATGAAAAGCCGTTTTCAGACGGCTCCACAGTGCTCTCCCAGGAGGAGACAGTCTTTCATTTAAAGTTTTGAAGCGGCTTTACCGCAGTCCCATAAGGGATCTTTAAAAAGAGTGCAAATCCCTCGGCTTAACCTCCTTAACGAAATCTTGGTGCACAAAAGGAAGCCTCTTGCCTCTGAAGACCTAGAAATGTGCAAGGCAGGTAAGCAGAATCAAGTTCACAGGTAAAAATGCTTCCCCATTCCCAGTTGCATTTGCTTCCCAAAGTTTTCGCATTTTAAAAAGTTCAAACAAGGATTATAAACGCAAGACATTCCCTTCCCTTCGATTACATGGCCCTTTTCCATCCTTGCCCCACGGCCACCGCCAGGCAGAGGCGGCGCCCACCTGCGGGAAGGGTCCGGCAGGTGGGCTGGCCTCCCAAGCGCTCGGGGCCTTCCAGAGGCCCCGAGGTGACACCGGGACGACGCAAACTTGTACTGGAGCGCACGGGGCCCCGGGAAGCGCTGCCCGTGACAGCGCGCTGACCCGCCAGGCCCCGGGTGGCGTGCGCCTCGGCGGGGCCGGCCGCGGCCGCCACTCCGGCCGGCCCGGAGGTGCTCGCTCCCCGCCCGGCGCCGTCTCCACGCCCGGCCCGAATCTCTGCTGGCGCGCGCGGGGCCTCGAGCCGCCGCCGCCGCCGCCGCGCTCCCGGCTCGGACCCTGGTCCGCCCTGCGCTGTCCCCCACCCGACGCCACCCGGTCACTCACCCCGAGGCCGGACAGCAGCAGCGCCAGCAGCAGCCGGACCGGCATGGCGAGGACTCGGGCCTGGCTCCGGGCCCGGCCGGCCGGCTCCGGGGGGGGCGGTGCGGGCCGGCGGGCAGGCAGAGGACGGGGCGGGGGCGCCGCGACTACAGCGCCGCGGCGGCGGGACTCCAGCCGACGTAGATCTGACTAGGCGGTGGCGGCACCCCCATGCCCCGTCCTATAAGCACCGGGTGCCGGCGCTTCTTCCGGTCGGGGCGGGGCCGGAGGCGGGGCCTTCCTGGGGGCGGGCCCAAAACTGAGCGAGGGCCGGGCCCGAAGGCGGGTCCGGGGCGGGGCTGTGCTCGAGAGGCGGGGCGCTGACGGGGCTGGCCTCCTGCTGACTGGGCGTGACGCGGCCGCGGGTGCTGGGGGGGAAGGACCAGGCCTGGGCGTCAGGCACCTAGGAGCGCTGAGCGATTGAGGCCGGGAGCTTTTCCGAGGGCTGAAGGAGGCCAGCAATACCGGCCGCGGGTGTATCCCTTTCCCCAGGCCGTCCCACCAACCCCGCCGAGAGACTCGCTCCGTAAGACTTCGTAAGACTTCGTAAGACTCGTAAAAGGCCAGGAGACGAGCGGTGCCGGGTGTCCAGAGCCCCTGCTCATCTTTCCGTCCTGATGAATCCGGAGCAACCTCCCGAGCCAGGGTCAGCAGCTGGCAGGGATGCCAGCAAACACAACACTTCTGCCATGCGCATACAAGCTCTAGGGTCCTCTAGCTGTGCCTCGGCTAGTCCGAAGGCCCCTTTCTTTGTCTTCAGCAGTTTCCCTCAAGTCCCGACACACAGCCATCAATTCCCTTTGGAATAAACTACAGCCAAGTCATCTGCCAAAAATTGTAAGCAAAGAAGGAAGCCATTTGAGCAGCTTGCGTCTTGTGTTTATGTGGCATTTAGTAGATGTGACCTTGTAAACTTAGAGATGACATGTGTCACAATTGGAAGGAGTGAGTGTGTTGAGGACTCACACAAGATCTATTCGAGGATTACGGACTATTAACCCGAATTTGGTCACTGGGTCCCATGTTGCTCTCCACATTGATGGAAGTGGAGAGGAAGGACATATTGTCTGTAACAATATAAACAATGTGCTAAGATTCAAAGCACATTTACAAATCCTTGGAGAAAAAGACAAGCGGGTAGCAACTTGCTTAATTTTTCCTAACTTGCTTATAGATTTTTGGGGGCTTGGGGGAGAGGAGTAAGCAATGCTAGAGGAAACAGCAAAGAAGTAGCAGAGGACCGACCAAATGTCTGGACTGTTTGCACTGCGGATCAGTCCTATCCAAGTATAAGACAGAAATGCGCAGAGGAAGCCCAAATCCTATAAACAAGAGTTCCGTATTCGCAGCCCCCAATGCCTGGATCAAAGTCAAGGGACTAATCTCTACCAACGCTGGAGAATCCAACACCCGTTTAAGAGCGGGACAAATCTTGGCAACTGTGAAAGCTGTAGACACATTTCGAAAAGTATCATCAGCATGTTTCAATGCAGAGGTTTGGGATTGACGGAGAGATGTGTAGAAGCAAAGCTCCGTCAGTCCGAAGCCGCAGAGCCAGGTGTCCAGGGAGAAGCTGACAACACAGAAACTGGGAGGGGCTCTTTAATGATTACCTGTCCAGCTTGCGAGCTGACAACTGGATCTGTAAGACCACATGTTTTGAGTTAAAAGAGACGCCTGACTAGAAAATGTTACTTTCACATCCCTTCTCTGGTGCTTTTTCTAAAACAAAGTAAGTCTAGGAGGGGAACTTTCTGTGCTGGAACTCGGGCAGCCCTTTGACAATTCAAAATGTCACTGTGACCCTGTAAGCATAGTAGATGAAACACAAAGGGGAATCTTAATCATCTGACTCAAAACTCAGGTTTAAAGATCCAATGAATTAAAAAAAAAAGTTCCAAAAAGTCCAAGCCAGGTTGGTACATTTTGTATCTTGTACTCAGTCGGATCAAATCCTCAGTCCTTAATGGCACTTTTATAGGTTTCAGAATTTCTTACCCACCAGTTAGACTGTTCTTCCACTTAATCAGTTCCCATGTTTTATGCGCTTCTCCACGTGATTGGCAACGCAGACTGATAGGCTCTGGTTTTATTCATGGCAGTATTGCCCATAATCTTGCTCCACAGTTTGGTTCTGTTTTAACAGCTTTTTGCTTACGAGACAGCAAAAGCTGGCATCATGAATAAATACAAGCAGAACTGGAAATATTTTGTAGGGTGCCTTTGAAGTGAAACTGCCCACATAAAAGACCTGAAAATGGACAGTAGATGACCTTTCTGGAAGTTTCATTAAATAGCATCCACGAAACAAGGCAAAGGTCATGGTCTTTGTGTAAAGATAAGCCCTCTTTTTCACCAAGGCAAGAAAAATATGTGTATCAGAGGACAGCAGCAGGGCCTGAATGTGTCTGAGGAGGTGGGGTCTGGGAGAAAGTGAGTTCACAAAAATCTTATTTTCACTGCTCTCTAGACCAGTGGCTCCCAAATTTGGAGAGCATTTATTAGTATTTGTTTATTTAGGTTTATTTATTTATTTTGAGAGAGAGAAAGTACAAGTCAGGGAGGGGCAGAGAGAAGGGAGAGAGAGAGAATTCCAAGCAGGCTCTGCGCAGAGCCAGGCGTGGAGCTTGAATCTACAAGCTGCAAGATCATGACCTGGGCCGAAGCCGGATGCTAAACTGACTGAGCCACCCAGGCGCACCCCCAAAACTTGGAGAGCTTTAAAAAAGGACTTCCATCACCTTTTCGTGCCCTCTTCCTCTACTGATTCAGCATCTCCAGGGGTGACCCCCAGGCCTGTGTGTTTTCCAGTTTCCGCAGGTGACGGAGGGCAGCCAAGATCCTGGGCACCAGCTCACTCACAATGTCGGGTGTTAATTTCTGTGGCCGCTGATCCCTTTTGTTTATTTTAGCAAATGTCGCCCTCTGGTGGAATAAATTATGACTCAGACTTTATAAAGAGTTTGTGCCTGTTTTATTTCTATTTAAAACCCTTTAAAATTTAATTTAAAAATGATCGTAAGGTTGGTTTGCAGATAGCTATTTGGACAGAGGGTAGCTGCCTTTGAAGGAGACTTGAAAGGAAAAGCTGGTAAAATTAAAAAGAGAGGCCATGGTTGACAGTTTCAGGAATGCCTCAAAGGTGAGTTTCTTATTATCACTGTTAATATTTATTAGCTGTTGGGGAACCTGGGTGGCTCAGTTGGTTGAGTGGACACTCTTGACTTCAGCTCAGATTATGATCTCATGGTTTGGGGGACCGAGCCCTACGTTGAGCCCTATGCTGACAGCATGGAGCCTGCTTGGGACTCTCTCCCTCTTTCTCTGCTCCTTTCTCACATACACGTGAATGCATTCTTCCTCAAAATAAATAAACATTAATATATGTGTGTGTGTGTGTGTGTGTGTGTATCTATTTATTTAGGGGCACCTAGGTGGCTCAGTCAGTTGAGTGTCCAACTTCAGCTCAGGTCATGATCTCATGGTTTGTGGGCTCCAGCCCCGTGTCAGGCTCTGTGCTGACAGCTCGGAGCCAGGAACCTGCTTCAGACTCTGTGTCTCCCTCTCTCTCTGCCCCTTCCCTGCTCGTGCTCTGTCTCTCTCTTTCAAAAATAAATAAACATTTAAAAATATGTATAATAATATAATATAAATATAATATAATATTTATATGTGTATACATTAATTTTTTATAATTAATTAATATTTATAAACTAATATATATATTAGCTGTACTTGTTTGGAAGTGTGCAAGTACATGCTTTATGGGATCATCTCATGTTATCTGCATAACAGTTAACAGAGGTAGGTGTTGTTCATCCCATTTTACAGATGATACATTGACATTTTAATGTTTTGTTTGTTTGTGTGTGTGTTTTTTTCTGAGAGAGAGACAGCGTGAGCAGGGGAGGGTCAGAGAGAGAGGGAGACCCAGAATCTGAAACCGGCTCCAGGCTCTGAGCTAGTTGTCAGCACAGAACCCAATGCGGTGCTTGAACCCACGAACTGTGAGATCATGACCTGAGCTGAAGTCGGACGCTTAAGCGACTGAGCCACCCAGGTGCCCCTAAATATATACATATATATACACATATATATTAATGTTTATTTATTTTGAAAGAGAACGCACTCACATGTATGTGAGAAAGGAGCAGAGAAAGAGGGAGAGAGTCCCAAGCAGGCTCCATGCTGTCAGCACAGGGCCCAACGTGGGGCTCGGATTCCTGACACATCGACATTTTAAAAGGTTAACAATCTGGTGGGGTAACAGACGGCTAGCAAGAGGCACAACATGGATTAGAACCCAGCTACTTACGCGCCTTTGGAGTTTGTCTGGTCAACCCCAGATGCTATAACGCGTTCCACCATTAGCTGCTTGTTATTCCTCCTCCTCCCACAGCATTATGACAAGCGACCATTATGTGACCTGTAAACATAGCCAGTAGCCAGGATTGGCATTTCCCTGGAGTACTGATAACAACCAGAAGTTTGTACAAATATGTGGTGATCAGGGACATTGCCTCAAATAGCGCCTCCTGGTCTCGTGTGGGGACGGGGGTTGGGGGTGGGGGTGGGCATGTGTGCAAAAGAATGTAAGTAATAGAGGAGCCATCTGGGATAGAATAGTGGGCTTCCTCTTGGGAGTTCTGCCCTGTGAGATAATTCAGTCTAATCTTGACTGATTATTTGTTCACTTGCCTGGGAGCTGTTGTTTTTCACACCCAGTTGTGCCAAGTCTGTATGCCACTGTGGTGAAGTGTCCATCGTGTCACCGTTTATCATACATTAATATTCTCAGAGAGCCAACACGGCGCCAGTGTGGAAATGACTGTCCTCTCAAAATACCTCCACTTTTTTGCTGGCCAGTCCCTCCTAATCCCCTGGGGTCTGGCTTATTTCCACAGAACTCTCTGGAAACTTCTTTCAGGCAGCTCATAAACATTCTTCCTCTTGTAAAATCCCAGGGGCCATACTTCATCTTGTTTTTCCTGGACCTCCCTTTAGGTATATTAACAGTTCTTTCTTCTGAACTTTCCTCTCTCTGGATATTCCCATTTTCTGGCTCTTTTTCCTCCTTCCAGAGTGCGTTTCTCAAAGCTTAATGTGCAAACCTTACCTCCCCTCTCTCTCCTTTCTCTCTAGAAC